AAAAAAAAAACAAAAAAAATAAAAATGAAAAGAAAAACTAGATCATACATGTAGTGCTAGGAATGTGGATGGTTTGTCCAATAAGCAGACTTGACCTGTAACAGGGACGTTTGAGAAATACTGTATGCCGATATTATTTTATACTCTTAGTTTTCTTCTTTACTTGGTTCTAACCTGACTGTAACTTCCTTGATAAAATGTGGGATGGACTGCTCCATACTCTGCTTCAAATTCTGCCTTAAACTGTAACACATCTTCCAGTGGAGTAGTTTGAGCTAGACCAAAGAGGAATAGACTGTGTTAAATTGCCCAATCAGGGTTGCCATCCACCGGAACAAAAAATATCCCTGACTTTTCACTGACTGTAAAGCAATTTTCCCTGACCCTGCATGATGACTATTCTGGCCAGGAATCAATAAAAATAAGGATGGCTCAGATAATTTTTAAAACAAAATTGCCTTGTCTATACAAAAACATCTAATAAAATAATTTGTGGCAACCTTAAGATAAAATTCCCTGACTTTTCACTGACTTTGAACAGGGATTAGAACACCCTGATCTGATACAAAACTCCCTGACTTTTTCCTGACCTTGAATAAAGCCTAATTTTCCCTGACGTTTTCCTGACCATGGCAACCCTGCCAATTCCTACAAGTAACAAGCTGAAGTACATCATTGTAACTTTATATCATTTCAATATTCAACTTTTCAGAATGACCACATGCCATGTGGTGAGTGACATGACAAAAAGTTCCAACACAATAATAAACAATAATACAAGTAAAATGTTACCAAAATCAAGTATATACCTTGAAATGCTGTTGGCCAGATAAATCTCACTGAAAACAGAAGACATTAATTTTAAGCATCTTGTGGTTGTCACTTTTTCTACAATATCACTACATTGTAAGTTAGAAAAAAATCTTTCTTACATGTACTTGAACGCTAGGGTTTCTGCTATTCAGTGCCAAAACCAGCAATCCCAATGTACACTGTCTTTTTAGTTGGTTTTGATTTACTAAGTTAAGCTTGAAAGATAGATTCTACCGGTATTAAATAATTAGATTTTTTAAGAACTTGGTCCTGAGGATTGAGTGTTCTCAATGATGCATGGCTCAGAGTGTCCTTCACGTATTGTTTCTTTTGAAACTAATTCACATACATCATTGACAAAAGGAGATTCAAGTCAGCAATCTTTATGATTAATGGTGCAAAAACCCAAGTGTGATTACCTTAAGTTTAAACCAGACAGGAACTGTAGGAGCAGGAAATTTAATTTCAGAATAAAGCTACTGGTTTTTTAAATGAAACTGTTGGGTTGTGACGGCAGGCCAGTGAAACACTCAGTTCATTAATATCAAATTGGAGTCGATAAAGATAAATGAGCCACCTTAACAAAATGAGGTGACATTTTTCATGTTAGCCCTTCATCACATAGCTCTGATGACAGGATAATGCTCAAAATGCCAGCTTCAAAACTCACTATGGCAGTTAACATACCTTTATCAACTTAATTAATTAATTAACCCCTTGAGTGCCTGACCATTGTGTACACTGTGTGCCACACCACTTTCACTGAAATTGGGTGTCTAGTAAAAACCTTCAGAATTATGCCATAAGCTTTTTCACTTAAGCTATGGACATGCACACATTAACTGAAAGGTCATAAAAGTATCTATTTAATGCTGTAAATTTCACTGAGGTTGACATAATTTGATATCCATATGACATCAGAGCAATGGGAAATCAGAGGTCTGTCAAAAAACCTCCTACGAGTCTCAGGTGCCAATAAAAGTTGCCGGGAGTTTAACTAAATCTCTTAAAATTTTGACGTACCCAGCACACCATATAGGCACCCGAGGGATGAAAATCACGACATACTGAGTACGTCATATAGGTACTCAAGGGGTTAATTTCAGGCACAACTTCCAAAAGCACTGCTCTATATTGTGTTCAATGAACATTCTCTTCAATAAAGTAAAATAAAAGTTTCAGCTGTTTGCTGTGTGTAATACCAATGAATCCAAGAAGATCTCTCACAATACTGGACGCAAATCTAAAAGGAAGAAATGGAATGGCCAGAGCCCAAAACAACCATCCCTGAAACAACAACACAATGGAATCACTGTTAGTATTGATATTCACTTACAAATATTTAAATAACATAAGTCTTAAATATATTGAGAAAGCAGGCACTAAATGTAAAAGACAGAGTATTCAATTGTTTATCTCTGACAGTCAGTAGCTGAACTTTAACCACAAATAAGTTTAGTTTGCACTATAGGGAAGACAAATTGCTTTTTACATAGAAATTTTCTAGTATGATTTACAAAATTAAATAAATGCATTCACTGCAGTCCTTCAGTACATCACTCATGGTAAACTTGTATGGGCTCATTGACTAATAATACCATAAAATTCAGACGATACCCATCCCCCATCTCAGCACCAATACCAGATGGCTACATGTAGGATTGAATATCAAAACTTAATTCTTGATTCAAAGAATCAAGGACCACATATCAAGTTTTGAGTTACCACCGTAAGCAACCTTCATGTAAACGGAAGATACACCTAACCTGGTTTTGTCTTTGTGCCACCACTACTGTTCTAGGTGTGCCGGTGTTTGCAGTAGTTCTTGAAAATTGGCTCTGGGTTGCTGAATCTTCATCTCTGCCATCATTCTCGTCGTCACTACCATCAAATGAGTCTTGCCGAGGGTGAAAAACTGGCTCTGACCCTTCTGCTTCATTCAGTGTATCTTGAACTGCCGTCTAAGCAATAAAATGATAAATGTTAAAGATGGAAAATAAATATCAGCATACCTGCCTACTCTCCCTAAAAATCTGTTAGTTTCATCGCAGCAAACTGAATCCACAAACCTGCTGCTCCCCTATATGGCTTGTCAGTTCTTCGACAGATTTCAGGAAGAAATTGGGATTTCAAATTGACTCTCTACCATTATATCTATCCAGAGCTTATTGTTTTAGTTAGCCTCTTTATTGGGCCGAGAAGAGGTACTTTTGAACCCACAAAATTGATGATCTCCCAGATTTTTATTTAATATATTTTTACTTATACTTAATTTTTCAGGATTCTTTGATTTTACAGTTGGTTTATTCTTTCATTTTTAAAATCACACCCAAAGGCTATTTCAATAAAGATTCATCTATTACTAGTTAAATATAAATTTGCAGCTGTTGTTAAAAGATAAACTGTTTAAATATCTGGTGGTTCTTTTTTAACGGTGAATTTTAGATTTTTCAACTGTGTTCGATTGAGTTCGATTGGGTTCGAGTACTCCTGAAATCAAAGGCAACCGAACACTCTCACACAAATGTATTGGTTCCATTGTCCAATCGTTCGAAATCTTAAGTTCGATCAGGTTCGATTAAATTCGATTATCGAACAGTTCGATTAGGAACGTCGGACATTTCAAAACTTCACAGCGCACATATTAAATATGAAAGAATCAGAAACTTAACTATGATTCAACAGGTATTTATATGCTTATTCTAAATTCTACCAAAATTTGGCAATAACAAATTAATCTTAAATAAATTTTTAACTTGTAGTATGGAAACCAAAAGTAAATCACCTCGATATCCCAATTGTGCCTCTCAAGAACTGCTCGACACTCCTCAATATCGTTGTAACCAGTTATATCCTGAAAGAAAATAATTCTAATGATGCTTTTTCTCTTTACATCTAATAACTGAAGACGCTTTACACTCCAACCTGAAAATGAGCTAAAATCTCCGTTCGACAAGCTGAATCGTCGCATCCTTCCGCCATTTTGCTCCTGTTACCCACATTGCCTTGCGGGATAAGGTTTTATCCTCAGCCTCGTAACCACGATCTTTTTCTTTAAGCGTGACCAGAGCTAGCGTGACTAACGAATCTGAAGAAGTCACGTTATTAACCCGTAGGAGATTGATGGATAAAAAAGGTTATTCGGACTTTTTATACCCGGGCGAGCTCACTAAAAAGACATGGAAAATCTGGCAGCTCATGAAAAACTCGAAACTTTTTCCATGTCATGCGAAAGTCAAGAAGTTGAACAGAAAGCCTGTTCAAATAAGCATTGCGTTTAAGCTCAGGTATTTTGGAATAAGCGCGTTGTTGTTGTCCTAGGAGCGGCACTTATTCGGTGGCGGCGTTTATTGGCATTCAAGGTGTTGTCAAGTGCAGTGCTTTACTGTAGCCGTTCGACCCCTAGGTCTGGAAGCAGATATTCGAGAGTAATATTTAGTGGTGGCGGGGTGAAGATGGTCATATTATGGTATACAATTTCCGTTAGCTCCGTTTTCCTCCACTCTTAACGAGGAGAAGGGCTTGCCTTTCGTGCTTTTCCAGTTTTTAATAATCGCAAATATTTTTCCATCGCAGAAGATACCTTAGAAACGCTGCAGGCAATTTTGGGGGATTCTATCCACACCAAGCGAAGAAAATGTTATTTTGAGCCATAAACACAATGTGATCGAAAGCTCAGGCCCTCACTTGTTATTAATATATTTTTAGAAACAACACAACGTTTTTTAAAAACATGTTTCAACAGAATCTTCTGTCATCTTCAGTTTAAATTACAAAGTACAGAGTTGAATACATACACTATATATTCAACTCTGTACTTTGTAATTTAAACTGAAGATGACAGAAGATTCTGTTGAAACATGTTTTTGAAAAACGTTGTGTTGTTTCTAAAAATTTTAACATGTCTGCTACTATCCAGACCTTTTGGCATTATTAATAATACACATGAGAAAAATCCCCTGGTGTATTTTATATATAGCCTTTTTGATCTTCTCTCCCCTTCCACCCCTCTCATACCCCTCATAGTTTTCCTCAATAGGGAAACGTGAAATGACAATTTCTAACTCTGAAATATAAACGATCTTGCTACCATTCTGATCAGTGTGAGCAAGTCAGTATAAAAAAAAAGCCGGCTTGATGAGTTAGCGACACAGATTAGTCGCTTTAATCATTTGATCTAAAAGTCCAGAGTAAGCGATGATAATAGATGGCAACTTTGTCATCTTTTGCGAAATAATAATAATAATAATAATAATAATAATAATAATAATAATAATAACAATGATGATAATAAGACTTCATTTATATATCGCTATTTCCCTTTAGCTCAAAGTTTACAGACATAGAGGAAGCTAAAAACGTTACAAATTTAAAAGATCGTTGTTGCTATTCTCCGTCTTTCCTTGGTATTGGTTTTCTGCGGGTTTCCCACATTGGGGGTTTTCTCGGCTGGCAAATTAATTCCCCTTTGACCCATCTTACCAGGGACCACGTCCATATTAGGAAGTGCCGTTCACCCAAATAAATAGTGCAGGGGGTCTGGGTGCGTGCGCACTCAAGATGGCTGGTGCCGAGCACGGGAACACCGAGGCTGATGTAGGAGAAGGAAGAATGGCTGCGAGTGAGGGAGCGAACGGAGGGGAATATGCGGACGAAGGACAGGATGGTCGAGGTAAAGAAAGCTAAAAAAACAGCCTGAATTTATGTGTCATTTTCGCGAAGGCTAAGTTTGGAGCGGTCGTGTAAGGAAGGGAAAAAATCGTTTTCAAGATGCACATCCTGACAGCTTTCGAAGGCTCTTCTACCTCCGGTCGCTAAGTCTTCGCTATTATGCGGCGAAAATTTTTCGCAAATGTTTCTGACTTTGTGTTTTTCTTCCGCTAGGCGACACGGAACTTTTCAGCAAGTCGCTGAAAATTCAATCCAAACGTTTTTACGTGGATGTGAAGCAAAATCGTCGTGGCAAGTTCATCAAAATTGCAGAGGTTAGTCGTAAAACAATAAAATCCATTTGCCGGCGTCGAAGAAAGGCAGTTGCACCTTCGCTGAAGCTACATTACGCCGTGGTTTTTAACCAGATAATGTCCTCTTCTTGGGAATACCGTAAACAAGCTAACGCGGGCGTTTGAGTGGGCTGTCTTCGACTGTCTTTGCAATTATTTATTTCAGCTGAATTATCGGCGCAACGGAAGGTGTGAAAAGAGTGGAGAGAAAATATCCGAGAGAGCGAAAACCAAAACCTGGCAGGGTGTCTTTACAGTCTGTCAGGCTCCTAAAGCTATTCTACATATAATTATTTTTGGCAAGACCTAGAATAGCCCGTTATGAGTTGGTAATTTGCAAATCTCTGTGCAATTTGTGACTGGAGTTTCTTGGATATTTTTTTTTTTTTGGTTCGGGTTTGAATTTAAATGGCCGGGACTTCCTGTAGTGTGATAAATAAGGTATGTACACACAAAATGTACTGTTATTGGTAATACGTGCTAGTTATATATGCCATTTCTAGCTTTCGCACTTGATATATTTTTCTGAAAAACAGCTTTTTGTATCCAGTCGTAAAGAGCAGGAAATATTTTCTCCTCCAAAAGGAAGCCTATGTTTTGATATATACGATAAAAATCACTGATTATCAATTATTCAGCTGTGTTGGCAGGCCGCTAGCTTGTTCTGCTATTGTAGGTAGCATTTCCACGTTTTTATTTGTTCCTTTTCAGACCTTAATCAGCAAGTACTTTATTATTGAACTTATTGCGAGAAAACGAAGCTCGGAAGGAAAAATAATGTTAGGCTTATGCTGTGTTTGAATTCTATTTTACTTTTTCTAACATGCATAAAATCCTGCAAGCTGAGGAAAACGTTTTATCAGGAACTAATTATGTAAATTTCCATGACATTATGATTTACCTGAATTCTTAGATTTCTCATATTTTGGTGGAAACCAGAAGTAAAATATGTTATCTTGCTGCGCAATGCATAGTTACTATTTAATATGTTGTTCGAAATGGGCTCGATTTGGTCGAAAGTTTTGAAGGGTTATCGGTTGTTCACGAATTTTAAGCTCTTGTTAGCTAAATATTATCTTGTACAATTTGACATGCCTGAACTTGAATTTATGGTGATTTTAATTGTAATTTAGCGATTTGTAATTTAGAATAGTGTCTGTGCCTCTAAAACGTAAATTGACATCGATATTAGGGAATTCAACTGTGTTTCAAGTAAATAGAAATGCAATATATTTACTCGGTGACGATACGTTAGTGAGGTTTCTCTTTTACTGCTCATTTACCAGTTTGGGAAATCAGATGTTATGAAATGAATAAACATTATGTGTAATGTTTTTTTACGTTGACTTTAGAATGTTAACCGGGGTACATATAAAATCCAGGGATGAAATTTCCTCGGAATTCTTCCAAACAGTTCACTTCTCTTTCAATCTAGCCATTGTTTTTGAAGATAACTCTGTGTTATGGATTGTCTGGGATGTTACTGAAAAGAACAAAGGAACCTTATCATAAAGACTTTCATTTTAAATTATTCATAAGAATTTACAATTCAACTATTCTTAAAAATACCTGAAGCTATTGAGTCCTGCCTCAAAATTTTTGAGGCTTAAAATTTGCAAGATACATGAAGATAGCCATTTACCAGTAGATACCAAAGGCAATCATTCCAAAAGTTTTACATGAAATTTGTGTGGGAACGTCTTTATTTCCGGTGGATCTTTTTAAAATTATTTTCTTGGTAGACCTTTTTATTTTAATTCCTGGTACATGCAACGCCAGTCAGGCTACCAGGTTAGAGTATGTAAAATTCTTGTGATGTGGCAACAGCTTTTCCTGTTTACTATGCTTTGAGAGGTGTTCTCAAAAATGATATTA